CTTTCCTATTTGTATTCCTTTGGCTTCCTTTTGTTCTCTAATTGCTCTGGCTAGTACTATATTGAATAGATAGGGAGAGAGTCGGCACCTTTGTCTAGTTCCTGATTGTAGTGGGATTGCTTTAAGTTTCTCTCCATTTAGTTTGATGTTGGCTACTGGTTTGCTGTATATTGCTTTTACTATGTTACATTTCTACTAAAATCCTGACTCATCCACATTCAGTCTGCTTAATTCACAATTGTCAAGAACTGGAAACAGAGCCTAGATGTCTGAATGTGAAATGTGTGTATGCACAATGAAATATCATTAAGCTCTAAAGAAAATTATATAATTCCAAGATCCATAGATAGAACTGGAAATAATTATTCTGAATTAATAATTCAGATCCAAAAAGGCAAACATCACATGTTCTGTTTTATATGTGGATGGTAGATTTGAACGTTTAGACATATGTATTTAAATTGGAGTAATCATAGAAGAAGGAACCTAATGAGCATCACTGTCAGCAGGCAAGGATGACAGTCTCAGGTAGTAGGAAGAGGGAAGGAGAATAATGGAAGTAGAAAGGTTACATGAAGAGGGTGACATGAGGAGAGGCTAGAGGAAAGAGTATAGGGAAGAAAAGCAAAATCCTTGGAAATTCCATGTGTCAACCTACTGTAGAATCTTCTTAAAATACATACATACACACACACACATATGTATACATATTCATACACATACATATATACATACATATACATAAATATATATGATAATGATGATGACAATGCCTCTCCTAGATATCATAGGCTATCAAAAAAATTCCATGTATGAGTTACCAATTTTCCAGGTGGTGATTAGTTGGTTTCTACAGACAACCCTCTACTTAAACAGTATAGGCTCTTGTCATTGTTCTAGTTACTCTTCAGAAACACAGATATTTGAAACACAGTACATAGAGAAATCAAACTGGTACCAACCCAAAAGCATCATCTGTTCTAGCTAGCTTTAATAGTGCTAGAAGATGTTATGCATGCAACTTTCTGAAAAAGTAATCAACAATATTAGCTAGCTATGAATAGTTTTTTATTGGATTTAAGTCATGCTCCACAAGATGAAATACATTTCCGGTACCATTAACTGGATGAAAACTCATGGCTGACTAAGGCATAGGTCCCCCAGGGGAATGAATACTATTTTGCTGCATGAAAATAATAATAAACTGCCCCCAAAGTTTTCCTCATTATACCCATGAAGCAGTCTATCTATCCACCCTTATCAAAGAAGCTTCCTTTTTACAGAAAATGGAAATTAATGCAGATACTTACAGATGGTCAGTTTGCAGAGAACTAGAATCTGTGGAGTGCTCTGCTCTAAATAGTATATTTATTTCACACTCTCTATTCCTAATACTCTGAGACCGTGAATGAAAAGAGGGTGGAAACATTGTGAAAGCCAGAAGTGGTGGACACTTACAGGCGAAATATTTGCCAGGCATGACAGAGTCCTTGTACACATAAATTCACAGTAGCTGTGATAATATGGTCAAGACCTATACAGGATCAACTATGCATCAAAAATACACTTGATGAAATCCAATATTCACTAGGCATAAAAAATCTTTTATTGCATCCAAATAAGAATAGAAAATGTCCTCAAGATTACTAAAAATATCTACAAACAGCTGTAGTTAGCATTGGCTTTGTGTTGAATGACTACATACTCTCTATGATCAGGAACAAAGCAGAAATGAAATATCTTAGAACTTTGATTTTAGGAATTCAAGACTGTTTTACTAAGGAAAAAATAAAAACAATAAAGATTTAAAAGATAAAACCTAAGTCATTCACACACAATTGTCTCTGTGAAATATACCTACAAATGTATGAAAGAAAAGTATTTGTACTTATAAATAAGACTAAGATTAAAACAAACAAACAAAAAAAGAATGTAATCACATAGATTCTGCATGTATTTGGCTGGATGTAATTTCTTCATTTGTTTGATTGCTATGGTAAATAGAATTGATTTTTAAATTTCAGCATCTACTCATTTATTCCTGGAATTTATAGGAAACCAGATGATCTTTTGGGGATTGGTAAATGAATTAGCTTTGTATCTTTTTAGACATGTGAAAGGAACCTTGGAATAGATCCCCATGAAGCCATTGTCATTGAGTGGCTATTTGCATGAGTGGTTTTGCAGCCAACATGAACTGGCAAGTAAAACTATAATTGGTCAACAGAAGATGCAGTCAGGGGACAGTGGGCACATAATAGAGAAAGAAAAGCTGAAACTTCCTAGGCCTTTTAAATCAGCCCATCACTGCAATGACTAAAATGACCTAAAGAGAATAGTGTTCAACATTTCACATTACTCTCACATGAAATTTTTAAAAATCTGTTTCTTACAGGAATCAATATTCTCATCTTAATCAAGTTGACAGTACTGTCTGGCACACACTTTGTCTGCATCTGTATCTATTAAATTCTAAATTACATTAATAGTATTTCTCTTGGCCCAATCATGAAGTTTTGTAAAACTAACAAAAGCATATAAGAAATGGTTTTAAAATTATACCACATAATAAAATATATACTTTTGTTAATTATAAAACTTTATATAAGAGCTAGCTATTACTAGCTTTTGAAAGGATAATGAAAGAGATTTCTAAAATTATATTTTAATGATTAATTTTGTTATTTGGCAATTTCATATATAAAAACAATGTATTCTAAAAGAGAAAACCTTGAAGAATAATATAATTTTCTAGAATCTACTGAATCATTACATTTTTTTAATGTAAGAAAGATAAAAGGAGATTAAAACTTGCTTCTGTTGACTCTCATATGCTAAAATGAAAAGTAGAACAAATAAGCTGCACTAAAGTCACTTTCTTTTTTTTATTAATTATTATATTTATTTAACCTTTCAAATATTGTTCCTCTTCCCAGTCCTCCCTCCAGGAGCTCCTTAACCCATCGCCCCTCCACTAAGAGAGTGCTCCCCTACTCATCTACTCCCACCGCACCCCTCTAGCATTCCCTTTCTCTGGGGCATCAAGCCTCCACAGGACCAAGCACATCCCCTCCCACTAAGGCCAGGTAGTCTTCTGCTACATATATAGCAGGGATCACAGACCAGTCCATGTATGCTCTTTGGTTGGGAGCTCTGAGAGCTCCAGTTAGTTGATACTGTTCTTCCTATGGAGTTGCCATCCCCTTCAGCTCCTTCAGTCTTTCCCTTAACTCTTCCACAGGGGTCCCTGGGCTCAGTTCAATGGTTGTCTGTAAGTATCTGCATCTGTCTCAGTCAGGAGTTGGTAGAGCCTCTCAGAGGACAGCCATGGTAGGATCCTGTCTGCAAGGACAACATGACATCAGCAATACCGTAGGGGTTTTGTGCCTGTGCATGAGAAGGATCCCGAGTTGGGGGAGTCTTTGGGTGGCCTTTCCTTCAGTCTCTGCTCCATTTTTGTCCCTGAATTTTCTTTACACATGGATAATTCTTCATGAAAAATATTGAGATGAGTTGGTGGCCCCTCCCTGAAACTGGGACCATGTCTATCTACTGGAGGTAGTCTCTTCAGGTTCCATCTCCTCACTGTTGGGCATTTCGGCTAAAGTCCCACTGAGTCCTGGGAACCTCTCATATCCCTGGTGTCTGGGATTTTCTAGTGGTTCTCTGTCTCCTACTTTACACTGCTGAATATTTCTATTCATTCTCCTGGTTCTCTGGACTTCTCTCCTATCACCTCTAATACCTAATTCTGCCCCCCATTTTCCTCCCCCTTTTCTCTTCCACCCAGGTCTCTTCCTTCCTCTGCTCCAATGATTATTTTATTACCTTTTCTAAATGGGATTGAAACATCCACACTCGGGCCTTCCTTCTTGTTAAGTTTCATATGAACAATAAATGGACAGAGAAAGAAATTAGAGAAACAAAACCCTTCACAATATCCACAAATAATGTAAAATATCTTGGTCAAACTTTAGCCAAGCAAGTGAAAAACCTGTATGACAAGAACTTCAAGTCTCTGAAGCAATAGTAATAAAAATTGCATGGTAGGTTATAGGCAGACCATCGAGGGTAATGTTATTCCTGGGTAGGTGGTCCTGGGTTCTATAAGAAAGCAGGCTGAGCCAGAACCACCCTTCCATGGTCTCTGCATCAGCTCTAGTTTTTAGGTTCTCATCCTGTTTAATTGTTTGGTTTCCTATCCTGACTTCCTAAAGTGAAGGACTGTGGATATGGAAATATAAGCCAAATGAACCCTTTCCTCTCCAACTTGCTTTAGGTCATGGTGTTTCATCATAGCAATAGTAACTCAAACTAAAATAGTGATGCTGTTGTTCAGGTCTCCTGTGGCAATTTTGTCCCCAGAATTCCAGTGTATGACTTGTGTTTCACTTCTGGTGAACACTATTAATATCATGTTTTTTGCTATTTTCTAAATGTATTCCATTTGTGCCCTAGTATTTCTGTCAACTCTAAATGATATGCAGATAGGTTAACTATTTTTTGAAAAAGCATGAGTCCCCATGCTTGTTATCAACATCTCCAACTTTTATAACTATGTACCAAACACAGACATACACACACATGCATGCATGCAGGTACACAAACACACAAAGGCTTCTTATCTGGATGCCTGTTAAAAATGTAAAACTTGGATATTGTTCGGTGAGAGTTTTCTATCATTGATCCTATGGCTCTTTCTGTTTCCATAAGAAGGTGGAGGATATTGCTGAGGTAGCAGAAGAATGGAATGAGGTAATGAATAAGAACTGAAATTGATGCCCTGATGGAAGGAAATGCAGGACAGAGAACTGCTATCTAAAAGGAAAATTCCAACATAGCTGTTTGAAATATACATATTTATAAAATGTAAAAATATTGCTTTGAGATAAAAGTTACAAAGTTTTTGTGATTAAAATTTGTTCTGCATTTCTGTCTACTTGTTGATTTCTTTCTGTTTATTTTTCATAAAATTTTTTGGTAGCAAAAGAAACTAGACGTCATTGAGAACTATGTTTTATTCATTGAAAACAATAGATTACAGTACATTGAGTGATAAGAGCTGCTTTATGCCTACAAATTCAGTCTCTGATAATGGAAAATAAAACTGGAAACATTGTTCTAGATACAATAGGCAAAGAACTGACAATTAAATCAGAGACAATAAGCAACAAATCACTAATCAGACAATTATTATCTATAGCCTCAAATAAAGCATTTTCTAACAGCATCTTACAACGTTAGTGCTTTGAACATAGAAAATTAAACTGTGTAAACTAGTCTTTAACTGTAATGTGGGGTTTCCTAATTTAAAGTAGTATTGTAATTATATTATTTTATTTAATGGAGTTCTATATGTAAACTAATAAAACTTGCATGTTTAAAACAAAAAGAACGTTTTAGCTTTTATTTTACTTTATCTTTTTAAATTTATGTTTAATGTATAGTATCTTGATAATTAGTTGAATATTTAAACTTTAAATTATATTCTGAACTAGAGTGTAGCTCAGAAGCATAGTACTTGCCTGATATTTAAAAGCCCTGAATTCAATTTTCAGGAATAAAATAATGAAAAAGAATAAAAGAGAAAAATAAAGATTTATATTCTATTTTCTTAACATTAACATAAATGCATTTAAATGAAATTCAACATCAGTCTGAAAATAGCATAGTATATACATAGTTATTTTAAGCACCTAAGAAACTGCTCTATTTCTAATCAAACCTTTCATTGTTTACTTTAATAAAAATATTAAGATGATAGCATTTAATCCAAGCATATCTCACTTAATGTTGTACTATATACTGGTATCCATTATCTGTGTAAAGCACCTCCAGAAAGCATCTGGCCTCCAAAGCAGCACCAAATATTAAAAAAAAATAAGATAAAATAAAACATGGAAAACAAAATTGTATTTAATTTCTGACGTTCATCTTTTAATTTTAGTTCAGTTTTGATCACTCTGCTGCCAATCAGAACAATAGGCACAAAAATTTTCGGAGGGTTCACATTCCCGAAATCTTGTGAATTGTGTAGGACACAAAGACTAAAATTAAAGTGCTTTCTTGAGTAAAAATGTCTAGAGAGACAATGAGCAACATCTCTGCAGCATAACAGAGACATGGGGAAGTCGGAGATTGTAGTAAGCATTCCTGATGAATACTAAATTCTGTAAGGGAACATACAGAAATGAAGGATAGGCAGAAAAAATATATTTTGAGGGAGTGTTTTTTTCCAAAACATCATATGAATTGCCATAGGAACAAAGATGAGTGTCCAGTGATCTGGAGGCTTTCTTGATCTACTTACGTGACTCTTCATACAAATCACTGACCACTATTTGTATCTCCCTACAGTGCAATTATAAAAACATTCCCTCTCACCAACTTAGCCATTGCAAAACTTGGCATCCAAACATTCTAGAAAGTATTGCTTTGATTATCTTTAACATTATTGGAAAAATAATTAGTTTATTTTATGAACAATACTAAATTTTTTAACCATGCAAACTGTGAGGTATAGCCTTGTGATCTCTAATGGTTCCAAATGTTGACTATTTTCTGGTTTATTGTCTTTCAACTATGGTTCACTGGCATATTTAGAGAAACAGTTCACAAACTGAGACATAAAAATTTTCAAGCAACCAGTTAAAAACTGATTTAAAAAAACATTCTTATATAAGCACAACTAAGAAAGCAGTCGTTTTTATTTATTACCTTCTGAATTTCTGTAATTGGCAAAATAATTGGCCTATTCATCATACATGGTATCTAAGGTTAAAAATATGAAATATCCACTAATTACCTTAAAATTATGGATTCAATTTTGGAATCTATGTAACAGTACTAGCATTCAGATTTGTTTCACTTAAGTTTGTAACAAAATTTTCACACCAAAAACTTAAATGAAGCTTTCCACAATAGAGATTTAAAGTTTATGATAATTTAATTTTTTTAGAGATAAGAAATGGGTCTTTTAGATACTAAATACCATTCTATTTGATAATGGCCACCATAGTTTTAAGATAACTATAGTTTTATTTAGTTTCACAAACACTCCTTATTTTCTCCTTTATCTAAAATGGAGACAACATCAGATGCATTCTTTCAGTGCCAGCAGAGCTGGGAGAGATGGCCTTGATCAAACTGAAGCACAGATTTTCTCTCATATATCACTATTTGGTGTTGTCTTTTCCTTTTCACCTCGTCCCAAACTCTCTGCTCTCAGATTCCTACATTACTATATTCTACTACTTAAAACCATCAATTTCTTTTCATGTGCTAATTTTGCAATTTTTTTAACTCACAAGTTTACATATTAAAATAATTCTCAAAAGTAGAAAAAGCATTATTAACATAATTATTTCTTATTGGACCAGCTCACTGTATAGAAGGCCAGGCTTGAATGGGTGGCAAGAACTTTCTATAAAATTAGAGATGAATTTATTTGAAACTAGAAAGAGAAGAAATAATTGTACAACTATCTCATTCCTAGCCATTCCTTTACATGTACTCTTTTGAATTATGCTGATGTTATAGCATATTCACTTGTTATCTGGTTACCGAGTAATGTCTTTGCAGTCAACGTCTGTTAGGAATAACTCAACTTCTAGGTCCCTTTCATCCTCCTATTTAGCAACACTCAGAATTCCCAAGTAATGCTTTAGTCCTGGTCTTGAACCCATAGCTAATTTAGGTTATCTAATCCTTTATGGTAATGCTACCTTCTTGTTAATAAGTGAATAATAAACTTTGTTTCTTGTGTTTAACCAGTAAGCTTTCTACCAAGTGTCCTTGTCAACCATAATGGGAGCATATGAGAGAAGCAGCATGAAAGCTGGACCAGTAGTATGTAAGTAAGTAAGACCAACACTGTAGGAAGGATCCAGAAACAAGCTTATGCTCACAATTAATTTCAAGTAGAGTGAGAAAGCCATGTGGTGCTTAATCCTCTCTAAATTGTTCTGTTACATAATGGAAGAAGATTCCTTGAACACTTGATTCCATTAAATTTGGGTTTTCTAATGCATCTCTATGAAGAATGTTCCCAGGTAATAAAGTACTTCTATATATTAGATGAAATAAATGCAATTTTTTATCAATGTAAATCCTGGTGGTGAGGAGAGCATGGGTAAAACTCCATGCCATAGAAGTCATCACTAATGTGCTCAGGCCAAAAGAGCAACTTAGAATCTTGGTTTTGGCCTTCGAGCGAAAGTTGGATAGTTTACATAAATGTCTTCTTTTTCATCTTCTGTAGACTGGAAGGGAGAAGTGGGACTTCTGCAGTTGGTGGCTACCTACAAAATAAATAGCAGAACATTGAGTGGCTCACTGAATTTCGGTATCCAATGAAGGTATTCTATAGAACCCTCCAAATACACTAATATAGGTCATATTTCCATTGCAGATAATTTAGTAAAACATTAACCTTATTATACAAAACTTATTTCTAAAGCATATTTTAGAAATTACATCTTCAATTTACATGACTGGAATAGATGGTAAGTAAACTAAAGGCAGATTATCAAGTTTAGTCTTATGCTGATTAATTCTTCAAAAATAAGATGTCCTCTACCTAGCCAAAGTTTAGTGAATTTCCCCAATGGCTGTGGAGAATTTCAGGCAGCTACCAGAAACTGGGAGAAAAGTACAAAACTAGATTTACCCAAGAAGTAGATACCTTTCTCATGATTGCTTTTGTTTGTTTGTTTGTTTGTTTGTTTAAACCCTCAATCATGAAAAAAATTATGTGTTTTGTTTTAAACTACCAAGATTGTACAATGTGTTATGGAAGCACACATAATGCAGATTTTGGTGAGTTAAGCACCCAATGAAGGTACTCTATAGAATCCTCCAAATACACTAACATAGGTCATATTTCCATTACAGATAATTCTGTAATGTTGACTGCAATTATAACAGTGTAATTGTTACTATTTTCCTCACAATCCTCCCGCCTCAGCTTTCCAAGAAAAATAGGCATGTATTCTTTATAATGATATATTTTCAAAATCTTGGCTTCAAAAATTATTAAAAATAAGATAACTATTTCATCAGCTACTTGGTACTTGAATAGCACTGCAAGGTCATTAAAAGGAAAATAAGCAATAACATACACAACTGAAAATAAGAGTTCTTACTAGATATTTTAAACAAATGGGAGCAATGATAACCAACTTGCCTTACTCTGTTTATCCCTGGGCTCTTTAAGTGGAGTTCTCACCTGTCTCCTTCTCTTCCTGGAATACAAATTCAGGACAAAATGTTAAGAGCCTACACTCAAGTACTGGTTATTTGAACTGTTCAAATCCTTGCTATGTACCCAACCATTTATGTATTTGTGAATAAGTATTTGTGGCTACAAATAGTTGTTTTATGTGTACATTTTCCAGAGTGATATTTGAGTGTCAACTCGAGTAGATTTAAAGTCATCATGGAAACGTATTTCTGGGTGTAAATTTTGTTTCCAGAAATATCTACCTGGAGAAAGAAGACTTGTGTTATATATGGCATCACTACCCTATAGGCAGGGGTCAAAGACTCAATAACAAGAAAATACACCAGGAAGTTTTTTCCCTCTGCTTCCTGACTAGATACATGACCAGATGACTCATATTCTTGCTTCCATGATTTCTTTGTCATGATGGACTGTACTTCCTAACTGTGAGTCAAAATAAATTCATTCTTCCTTAAGGGTGCCTTCCAGGTGTTTTGTTACAGCAATGAAATGAATAACATGTTTATCTACTCTAATGTGCTCATAGATGCACTGCTACACTGCTCTCCAGAATGCATTACCAATTAATCAGAGTGGTTTTACAAGATATTGTATAGTGAACTAATATCAAAATAGCCTATAGCTTTTGGACTTCTGGACTTCTTTAAAAGGTCAGCACTCTAATGTATTGGATGACAATAATAATTGACTTGTTTCATTTAAAAGTCTTCAGGTCTTATTATAAATTACCTGATTTATTATTTTATTTAAAGTACATCAAAGCTCTAATAGATTAGAAAAGTGCTCAGAGGTGAATATCATCTTGGCCAGCATCTCATGGGTTAGGAATGGTGTTGGAGTTAAAGCCACAGCCCTCCCATCTGAATCCAAGGTATCTCCACGCTGAGTCACCTGTATAAGCAGACTATCCAGAGCCATACTGTACAACACACTCATCTAAGAAACATTCTGGGTGAAATCTCAAATGAATAAATATAAGGGAAACAAAAAATGATACTATAATTAGAAAAATAACGACAGCCAAGAATATTATAAAAAGCTGTTATGGGGATATCAGGTCTATCTCTCTGTCATCTCCCTACAAACAAGATTCTAACTGAACTACAGCAGAAATAGAAATTTTGTTGTGTTTGCTTCTTCTTGTTGTTTTGTTTAAAACTACAATTACAACTCTTCTGTAGCAATCATGAAAGCATGATATTCTTTCTGCAAAAAAAAAAAGATTATCCATAATGGCTATTGATGATAATGGGTACTTCTTATTGCTTGGAAGTAGACTGACTACCTCAGCACAATCTTAACTCTTTATATACATTTATCTGATTTTTGTTATTTAAGAAATTAGTACTCTACTTCAATAACACTGGAGTATATACAATGTAGTGTGAATAAAAGAGAACTTAGTTTAGATTTCAAAGCTTTCTTTATGCAGCTTTTGCTGTGCTATTTGCTAGACAAGTGATCAGTGTCTCATGATCAGTCCTCTTATCTTTACAATACAGTGAGATCATATACCAAAGCTGTTGAACAGTTGTCTTGTTCTAATTGTAAAATATTTCTCAATAGGGGACATTTGCAGTGCTGAAAAGAGAAGAGTTTCCAGCATATTAAGACATAGTATTTGTTAAAAATATCATATGCACATTTACACCAAGTGTACAAATAAGCAACATTTTTCTCACTAAATATTGAATTTCACCTAACAAATATCCACATCAAGAATAAATGTTGGCTCCTTTCATTCTGATGAGCACTGTGTACTTCCCCTGGTCCTGTTCACTCACTATTGCCATCTTTCTCATTTCTACATGGAAGAGCACAAACTCGATGCAGAGAATTGCTTCCAAGGGCATCAGAATCACAGGTGACTAGGTGCCAAGAGTAGTCTAAATTTACTTTGGCTTCTATCCAACTCAGCACATCTGAAGCTGCAGCATTATTCTAAATGGTAAGGCATAGGGCTCTGGGTCACTGTTATAAACCTTGGGTCAGTTTTCAAAGTATTTCCATTTGAAGTAACAACCAAAACATCCCAGTGACAAGATAGAAAGAGCAAGTGCCCTTTCTTTTGTGCTTTTCACCTGTGATTATGCAGTCAAGCTCGCTAATCTTTTTATAACATTTAACCAAGGGAGGCTAGGTACTCTCTGGTTCAATTTAGTTGTTCAGGTAAAAGTAATGCATTTTCATGAAGCAAAACTTATCATGTCCAACATCTGTGACCCTCCAGAGGTCCCTTCTGACACTGTTTCAGCTCTGCTTCCTGTCCCCGTGTACTTCTGTGATACTGAATTTTCTCTAATACTAACACTTGGGGATCTTTTCCTAACTTGGTATTTTCTACTCAGGAAAAAAAAATCTTTCTTTATGTAACCTGTGCTGTGCTATTTACTAAACAAGTGATCAATGTCTCATGATCAGGCCGCCATGATGGGAGAAAAGGTAAGACTTCTCTGTGTTCCACTGTACTTGTACAGACACCTATTGAATATGCACTAAAACACTAAAATGAAAACACTAAAAATAAAAAGCAGAAAACTCTCCCATTATGATTATCATAGATGTACAGAAAGGGATGACAATCACAAGAATACAAAGCAAGATGCAAGGCATGGCAGATGAAGAGGACAAGATTATTTCAGATAGTGACATCATGTCTATTTGAAGGAACATCAAAAGAGGACAGACCTCTGGCATGGGGAAAGGAGACAAGTGTCTTGCATGCTGAATGAAGCACAAGGACTGAGGTCAAATTAGAGAAACTGTATTTTGGTAGCAAAATTCTTCACTTTTGAGAAGTGAGTTGGATATGTTAAAAAATATAATAGTTCCAGTTTCAACAAAAGTAATCAGGATTAGGGGGAGTAGTAACAAGGAAAATGTAAATGAATATTTGCTGAAGTCAGAAAGCAAGGCACATTTTGATAGCTGGCTTAGTGAGTGATTATTCTGATGTCTTTCAGATGATAATACAAGTGTCAATCAGGAGAATGGCATCACCAATCCTATTTCAAAAGAACAAATAGGTAAAATTGATAGGTTCAAGGGAGAAAGTAGTTCTGAGAGCAATGTAGGGGAGGGAAAAATGTTATTAACATCAGGTGACAGTAAAAGAGTTAGGGAGTTATGGATAATATATGCAGACAAGACATATAATCTTGCTTGAGAACCATAGTAACAAGCCGTGTGTGTGTGTGTGTGTGTGTGTGTGTGTGTGTGTGTTGTTAATATTATCAGCAAGGGAAGAATAAAATTTTATTTATTCATTTGTCAAAAAATATTACATGCCCGCACCTTTCCAGACATGCAAAATTCTAATGTTCAAAAAGTGATCCCTTTCTCTCCTTAGCAGATAACCCTCCAACTGAAACATAGTATAACAAGTTATCTAATAAAATTAAAGTCCAGGGACTAAACCATAAACCAAAGCTTAAGGATGGATCCATGGCTCCAGTTACATATGTAGCAGAGGATGACCTTATGTGGCATCAATGGGAGGGGAGGCACTTGGTCCTGTGGAAGCTTGATGCCCAAGGTAAGGGATTGTTAGAGGGATGAGTTGGGAGTGGGTGGGTAGGTGGTGGTGCACCCTCTTAGAGGTAAAGGAGTGAAGGAGGGGAGCAGGGTTTGAAGAGGCAAGACCAGGAAGGGGGACAGCATTTAGATTGTAAATAAATAAAATAACCAATTAATTAAAAAGTATGAGATATACTAGACAGATTAGTAGTACTCATGGGAGAGCTAGAAGTGAAAGAAAGGGTAGGAACTCTCTCTCTCAGGCCACTCTTTCAGGTCCTATCTAAGTTATCTTATTTAACATCTATAGGTGGCTTGTCTCAGAAAATATCAAATTATCTTAGACTGTGTTGTTATCCTGGTAATATGTAAGCTTCCTTGCCTCTTGTTCGCTGCACTGCGATATTAAAAAAAAAAATGGCTGAATAAAACATTAACCTCTTCTTCCTCTTTTTTCCTCCCTCCCCATTGCCCTGTGCAACCCCTACCCCACAACCCACACACTCACAAAAGCTTCTCAACTGACACCTATTCCCGTGGAGGAGTCAGAAGGGAAAATGGATAAGGAACAGAGAAATTTGCATGAATGTAAGGGCACACTGCCAACTCTTAAATGAGTGACTCCAGCTTTGGTCTATAATAGTACTCCTCTTGCTTCCTGTCCTTTTTTGCTTGTTTGTTTTTCTGTCCCTTTTTAAAGAGCAGCAATTACCTATGTATGTAACTGTACACTCATACATAAATCCTGAGTCACTTCATAAGTTTTTGGGTTATTCATAGAAAACCTTAAATATCAGAATCATTCAAAATAAATAAGACTCAGGGTAAGTTGCTTTACTCACCTGTTATATAAAATGATAATGATGACAAATAGGATGACAAGTAACAGTGAAGCTGACCCTCCAACGACGGGAAGGATAAAATGTTTATTGGTTCCTTCTAGAAGAAAAAAAGTTAGAGTATGAATTAAGAATTTAATTAATTCCCACTGAAGAACGATGGGGAAATGAAGAAAGGATCCACTAATCATGGCAGGATAACAATCAAACTCAAAGAATCTAAGAACAATAAGATGGGTTAAGGAGAAAAACATTTTTTCCTGAAAGCCTCCTTAATTCTTATGACTATCACAGATTTTGATTGCTTCCTTGATTAAATAGGGTTCAACAACAAAAACACAAAAATGGGGCTGAAAAGACGGTTCAGTGGTTACTTCTCTTGCAGAGGTCCCCAGTATCCATGCACTGGTCCACAATTGCCTGAAACTGCAACTCCTAAGAATCTGACACTTATGGCTTCCAAAGGCAGAGTCCTGACAGGTCCCACAAACAGGAAAAGGGTCCAGGAGTCCCGGACTGGGCAGCGGGTCCCAATAACTCGAGAAAGTCCAATGTTCCAAGAAGTTTATTGTTCATGGTGTGGTAGTTGGACCTGGCTGTGGGCCCTCCATAAAAGCCAGGGGGAGCTGGCTTAAATAGGGAGGGGGAAAGAGGAGAGGCTGGGGAGGAATAACTTAATTGAGCTACGCCCCCTGGCCTTAGGTAACTCATGAATATGGAAATCTCTGTTAGTCACGCCCTCTACTTGTAGTTGTGGATGGTGATGCAAACCTCTCTGGGAGGAGCTACTCTGACCCAAATGCACGTCTGCAAGTTGCGGGCTAATGGAGGTGTAGGCCACACGTAGGAGTCTAGAATCCAGGGGCATGGGGAGATACGTGATGTCCCTCACAGGCCATGGTCACCTGTTGGGTCTCTGGCTATCTCAAACCCAGTGCTCTACTGGGGAGACCAAATCATCCCTTCACGGCCCTACACACTTCCACTTACATCCACATACACTATACAGATGAAAGTAAGAAAAAAAATCTTTAAAAGCAATAATGTTAATAGCACACATTTAACACAGATGATCTTTTAATTATCCTATACAAAACCCTTTGCAGAGAAAAAAAAATGTAACACTGGATTAATATATTAACAGGATTGCATCTTATGTTGAAGCATATTCTAAGCAGCAGTATATAACTGAAATGTTTGTCATAATTTTTAAAAATATGGTTTTTGTTATATTTGAGTGCTTGTTAAAAGTAGTATTGAGGATGAACACGTTACTCAAATTTGGTGTTGTCTGGTGCTCTGAAATTGTCTCCTCAATTGCTTGCTATTTTAGCTAATCAACATCTAGTGCCATCTTTCTCTGCTCAGAGTTCTTACATCTCTCAAGTGAGTAGATGAGTCAGTGTTTGAAAGAATGAAGAGGTCAGGGACCCCTATGGAAGAGTTAGGGCAAGGACTGAAGGAGCTGAAGGGGATGGCAAACCCATAGGAAGAACAACAATATCAACTAACCCAGACCCCTGGGAGCTCTCAGAGACTAAGCCACTAACCAAAGAACATACATGGGCTTGTTCATGGCCCACTGGCACATACGTAGCAGAGGACTGCCTTGTCTGGCCTCAGTGGAGAGAATGCATCTAATTCTGGAAGGACTTGATGCCCCCAAGGAAGAGGGGGTGTGGGGGTGTGAGTGAGGTGGTTGGGTGAGTGGGGGAACACCCTCTCAGAGACAAAGGGGAGGGGGAGGGAATGAAGAATTCTTGGAGTGGGGCCCTGGAAGGGGGCAACATTTGATATGTAAATACATAAAACAGAGAGAGAGAGAGAGAGAGAGAGAGAGAGAGAGAGAGAGAGAGAGAGAGAGAGAGGGACTGAAAAGCTACTACTTGAGAAATTCCACCTATGGAGGTGTTAGAGTGTCCTCTTGCCCATAGCTGCTCCTCATACATGTCTACCACAGAAGGCTTTGTGGGATGACACCCCATCACTATTGGTTGCTGGCAGGAATACACTTGAAATGAGATTTGCCTATTATCTTTATTGCACTGAAACAGAGCACTTGCCACTGCATTCTGGATCCAAAGGCAACCTGAGGAACATGACTTTTCACCTCATTCTGCTTCATATTTCTTCAGATCATCCCATACTTCCTAAGTGACATGTTCATTGAATCTTTTTCTCATGATGAAAGCTCAAAGTTTACATCAATTTTTTGGTTGGTTGGTTGGTTGGTTGGTTTTGTTTTTTGTTTTGTTTTGTTTTTCAAGACAAGGTTTCTCTGTATAGCCCTGCCTATACTGAAACTCACTCTGTAGACCTGGCTGGCCTTTACTCAGAAATCTGGGATTAAAGGCAAGTGCCACCACTGCCCTGCTAAATCAACTTTATTTAAAAGAATCTGAGACAAATAAAAGATGCTTTTAGGTTTTTAATTTGCTTAATCCCTATTGTAAGCATAAATGAGACCAGCCATACAATGGTTCTCTTTCTGAGTCTGGCTTATGCCATTTAACAGAACATCACAAGGCATATCTCAGGGTCACAGATTACAGTATCTTCTCTCTGTATAACAGAATGCTACCTTGATCTGTCCATCTATCCCAACTCTTTGATTGTTTCCACAATTTGAATACTGTGAAGAGTGCTATGTGAATGCAGGGATGGAATAATCTCTTCAAGGAAACAATCCAAGTCCCTTGGATATATACTCAACAGAGGGATTACTAGGCTATGTAGTACTACCTTCAATTCCTTGAGGCACCTCCATTTTGTTTTTAACAATAACTATGTTAATTTATAATAGTGACACCAACTATCTTTTTCCATAATTCTTGGCAAGCTTTCCATTTGGTTTAGAAAAGGTTAGTTAATGTCTATTGCTCATCTTTTTCATTGCGTTACTTGCAATATTTTTCTAATGAAAGCCTGAGACTTGTGACAGCATAGATGAACTTTTAGGCTATTATTCCAATAACAATAAGGCAAACACATAGAGACAAACACTATGATTCTAAAAGAAGGTGACATCTAAAAATGCTGAAAGCATAGAAGCAGAGTGGAATGGCAATCTCTGGCATAGAGCAGGAGGTACAGGAAATAGGATCCTACTCAAGGGTAGAAGCTTTGGTATACAAAGAAAAATTTCAGGGGCTATAAGTTATAGTATAGGTAAGTGAGAGGTATGTTAATTAATCTGGTTATAATAATAATTGTTTAATGTATATATATCAAAAATTCATATTATACATATATGTTATTAAATATACATTACATATAATCTTTGGCAATATATATATATATATATATATACACACATATACATATATATTAGAGCTAGAAGATGGTTCAGTTGGCAAAGCACTTGTCATACAATTACAAGGACCTGACTTCTACCCACATGAAAAGTCTGCTGTGGTCTCACACTCTGTAATCCAGTTCAGAAGTAAGAAGGTCCCTGGGCTGATTTGGTAATCCCCAAGCCAGGGAAAGTCCCAATCTCCAAAAGCAAGATGAACAGTTCCTGAGGAACAGTACTTAAGGCTGACCTATGATCTTCACATGCACACGTACATAAGTGCACTTGCACAGACATAAACATGCACATACGATCACACACACAAATTTAGAATATTTTTCTTTTGCTCTTTATTTTGTTTTTTATTCAAATATTTTAAATTATATGTAAATTTTTTAATCAGTAAAACTATAAAAATATGTCTATATTAAAACAGAATGTTTATTGAAATTCAGTGGTTGCATTTAAAGAACAAAAATGTGTGGAACTCTATTTTAAAGTAGACTCAGAATTGTTAAGAGTTAAGATCACATTTTGATCTAACATGTAACTGTACTTTTCATCAAATCTCTTAATTATAAATTCTAGTTTCAAATGCTTCAGCCTAAACTATATTTCCATGATCATCCTCTTCCAATAATCTCTTCTGACCATTAGAGTCAGGTCGATCTCTTCAGTGTCTAAATGTAAACAATCTCACAGTGTGCTAGGTAATTGGTAAAAGGAGGGAAACAGATAATCTCATATATTATATCTGATTTAATGGAACTTATGTTATTTCAAAAAGTCCTACATGTTTTAAAGTCAGCATGAAACAAGCATTTTCTTCAAGAAATGAGTGTAGAGAAATGAAGCTTTTGTCAGGCATGAACCAGCACAGCCTAGAGCCACTGCTGTTCTCCCTTCTTTCCTGACATCATTATGTAGCTGCTATGGGAATGGCCAGAGTACTGCAAGCATTCACCTCTCTGAAACTTGTGTGGATGGAAAAACAGAAAACAAACAGGATGCTTTGAGCAGTTAATCAATAGCTCACAACATCCACTTTTCCCCTTAAGTTCTGCTAATAGATCTGTGGTTGAATAATGCCAACCCTTAAGCTCTTCTCTAAAAAAAAAGAATTATTGTCTGTTCTCAGTGGTCCCTTTTCTGATGGCTTTTTTTTTTCATGTATCCTAATGCTGTATTGACTCATAGGCGGACAAAACTGTCTTGAACTACAAAGCTATTATTTTTCCTCCTATCACAAAGAGTAAGTGCAGTTAAACCAATTTAAATCAAGTCAGCGAAATTTATAAATGAATAATTTTTCTCTAAGCCTGCAATCCTCTGGGGTAAGTTTCTGTCAATGCCAAGTATTTATGACTGAGTTATAAACTTTTGAAGAAGACTCATGATAGAAATGTCTCTAGATCTTTCCGGTTGAGCTAGAAAAGAAGCAGAGCTATTGGCACTGCCCACTATTTGCCCTCATTAGAGATAGGGGATGGGGGTTGTTATGGTTTGTATATACTCGGCCTAGGGACAGGCACTATTAGAAATGTGGCCCTGTTGGACTAGGTGTGGCCTTGTTGGAGTAGGTGCATCACTCTGTGTGTGGCCTTTAAGACCCATGGCTGCCTGGAAGACAGTATTCTACTAGCAGCATTCACATGAAGATGTAGAACTCTCAGCTCCTCCCATACCATGCCTGCCTGGAGGCTGCCATTTTCCCTCTTTGATGATAATGGACTGAACCTCTGTACCATAAGCCAGGCCAAATTAAATGTTGTCCTTATAAGAGTTGCCTTGGTCATGGTGTCTGT